TAGCACAGTCTAAATAAATGTTACATTCATATGTAATAATGAAATCATACAGTAAATGTAACACTTTAGTTGATGGGGGAGAAGGGTGATTTTGAGGTTGATAAAATCGAGCTTCTCTTCAAGTGTTATATCCTTTCTTTTACGATCATCACCGGGAATTCTATCACCAGAACGCTTCTCGTTGATATTCTTTACTATATTCACAGTTAATACAGTGGGGTATGCTATAACGAACGAAACTCCTACAACGAACATTATTTAATTTTTTGTTTGTTTTTTTCTAATTTATTGTTTTTTATTACAAATATTAATGATATTCTTTATTTCAGGGGTTTAGATGCATATTTATGCACTTTTATACAATTTTTACAATTTTATATTATATTTTTCAGTGTTAAGTGGTTGTATTTGGGGGCCTGGAACGGATTAATCCTATAACGAACGAATGCTATAACAAACAAGGTTCTAGAACCAATTAGATTCGTTATAGCATACCCCACTGTACCACAAAATTGGAGAAATAGTAAGCAAAAATCGCGTTATAGCAAACAAGCGTTCGCGTTATAGAAATATCGTTCCTAATTCATAAATCGCGTTAGAGCAAATTCGCGTTATCAAAACACGCGTTATAGCAGAACTCAATGTAATGACGAAATGTTTTTACATGTGCGCACTTCCGTACGCACAGTCTTAACGAAAACAATGCCATCTCATTTCCTCGTATGTTTTATTATATTACATATTATAAATGAATTGTCTTGTTCATTTTGCACACTCAAACCAATCGAAATTCGAGTTTCCGCCGTCGAAATTTGAAATTGTGTAGTGGGGTTTTTTGTGTCCAATAAAAAACCTGGAATTAAAAATTCGCAAAATTTGAGAACCTACCGGTACTATACTGTACTTGGATGTCATGAACTTTGTTCATTCACTACCAGGCCTTCACTGGTGTCACAAGCCATTTTCAATCCTGCAATATTGCATTCAAACTTGAAGTAGTGCGATATGGCAAAGAACATGGAAACAGGGCAACACATAGAAACTTCGTACCACCACCTACTGAGAAGATGATTTGCCAGTGGAAGAAGCAGGAGGAAGAATTAAAAAAAAAGCGAATAAACAGAAGCATAATCTTCGTACAGTACCAGCAAAATGGCCTTGCTTAGAAGAAAACTTGAAAACATGGATATTAGACCAAAGAAACTTGGGTTTGGCCGTGACGACGAAGATGACCATTTTGGAAGCAAGAAGGTTTGCAGCAAACACAGGGGTGGATGACTTCAAAGGAACTGCTTGTTGGTGCTTTTGCTTCATGAAACGAAATGGCTTAAGTTTGCGAACAAGAACAAAGTTAGCTCAGAAAATGCCTGCAGATTACGAAAAGAAAATACAGTATTACCCCGCCTAACGCGGTTTCACTTAACGCGTTTTTTCATATACGCGGTGCCTCGCCAGAGCTGAACTTTCACTTAACACGGATTTTTTCCACATATACGCGGCGAGTGTCAGGTTCGAGACGCTATTTTTAGATTTGCCCCACCCGCCACCCTGCCTGACTGCCTGTTTTAGCTCATAAAATTCATACAAATTACCCGGCCAGAATATAATTTACATTGCTGGAATTCTTATAATTTGGTGATCATTTTGAATATAAACATCATATATTTTGCATTAGACATACAAATTTTAGATAAAATTTTTTCTCTGAGTAAATATGTTATCTTTTGTGCAAAATATATGACATTTATATTCAAAATATTCCTGGTCTTACAAGGAATCCAGCAATGTCAATTATATTATCCTAACTTTAGTTTGAGGTATTATTTATTACAAAAAAGTTAAGTATTCTGGTTTTCCCACACATCTCCTTGGGACGGTTGGTGGGGGGTGGGGGAGGGAGGGACCGACCGACCATCTGTTACCCTGTGAAGAATATTTTTTTTTTTATTAACTGAAGATATTTGTTTTAGCTCATAAAATTCATACAAATTACCCGGTCAGAATATAATTTACATTGCTGGAATTCTTATAATTTGGTGATCATTTTGAATATAAACATCATATAATTTGCATTAGACATACAAATTTTAGATAAAATGTTTTCTGAGTAAATATGTTATCTTTTGTGCAAAATATATGACATTTATATTCAAAATATTCCTGGTCTTACAAGGAATCCAGCAATGTCAATTATATTATCCTAACTTTAATCTGAGGTATTATTTAATACAAAATGTTAACATTTATTTTTTTCACCCAACATCTCTTGAAGGGAGGATTGGTGGGGGGTGGGGGGGAGGGTTGGGACTGACCGCGCGGTTGGAAGAGGGGGGGAGGCAAGGTGGGGTACTTTGATTGACAGATAGTGTCGTGAAGAATATTTTTTTTTTATTAACTGAAGATATTTGTTTTAGCTCATAAAATTCATACAAATTACCCAGCCAGAATATAATTTACATTGCTGGAATTCTTACAATTTGATGATCATTTTGAATACAAACATCATAGATTTTGCATTAGACATACAAATTTTAGATATAATGTTTACTCTGAGTAAATATGTTATCTTTTGTGCAAAATATATGACATTTATATTCAAAATATTCCTGGTCTTACAAGGAATCCAGCAATGTCAATTGTATTATCCTAACTTTAGTTTGAGGTATTATTTATTAAAATTTAGTAGTTTTCCCCCAAAAATTTCTCAGAGAGGGAAGAGCCAGCAGTGTAGTGTGAGAAGAGGGGGAGGGAGTCGAGTCCATTATTTGAATGGACATTAACTTGGCGACTGTATTTCTCTATTTCTCTTAAGTATTAATTGTGTGCACATACCATCATAAAATTAAGATGTTATTTTTACTACAACATAGTTATGTGTCTTCAAAAAGTGGAGTTTGGGGGTCGGGCCGGTTTCTATTGGAATTAATCCCATATGTTCTGTTGTTCACTTAACGCGGATTTCACTTAACGCGGGACCCTCTGGGTTCTATTGACCGCGTTAAGTGGGGTACAACTGTATTAGATTTCCATAAATTTATTATTAATGTTAGAAAACAGAGTTGTCCTGAACTCAGTCAAATTGGGAATATGGACTTTTGATGTGCCATCAAATGAAAGTGTAAATGTAAAAGGGATGAAATCGGTGATTGTTAAAACCACTGGACACGAAAAGACTCACTACACGGTAGTTTTAGCTTGCTGTGCTGACGGGACCAAAATACCACCTCTGTTAATTTTCAAGAGAAAAACATTACCGAAGAAAAAACTGCCAAATGGAATTCATGTTATTGTACAACCCAAAGGATGGATGGATGGAGAAGGTGTCAAGGTATGGTTGGATAAAGTGTGGTCCAAGCATTCTGGTGCCCTGCTACGAAAGAATTCACTGCTAGTATGGGATCAGTTTAGTGCTCACAGGACTGAAAACACCAAAAGGCTAGCAAAGGGGCTCAACACACAGCTGGCAGTAATTCCTGGTGGCCTGACTTCCCAGTTGCAGCCGCTAGATGTCAGCATTAATAAGCCCTTTAAGAATAACATGAGGGAGCAATGGAATAAATCGATGACAGAGTGGAATCATTATATGACGCCGACTGGAAGGATGAAACGTCCATCAATATCTGAAGTGTGTGAATGGGTGCTGAAGTCATGGTGTGATATCAAAACTAAAGTTATCCTTAAGTCTTTCAAAAAATGTGGTATCAGTAATGCTATGGATGGCACTGAAGACAACTTGTTGTACAAGACTGACAGTAGTGATGATGATTCAGAGCCTGGTGATGAATCCAACAGTGACGAGTTCTCAGGATTTGAAGATAAATAAAATACTTTTGACTGTTTTACTGGACATGATATTTAGAGATTTACAGTTTATTGTGATTTTTATTGTTTACTTACCAAAAATTTAATTCAACTAATTTTTACCGATTTCTTTTTTACTTTTAATTTTTTGTTTTTAAATAAAGATTTTTTTATTATTTAGACATTGATATACATGTTTACATTTGCTTGCCTTCTACTGTTGGAAAATATTTCCCATCGTTGTCGTACCGACAAAAATGAGAGAAAGAATGTAAACACTACAGCCCCTATGATGTGGAGGTGACCAGGTGTATAAAATGAGCGCTGTATTAAGGATTTCACCTTCTTATACAGATTTTTTTTTTTAAATTGATGAAAATGACGACTGATAAGCAGTTCTATGTGATGATATTCAAAGAGGTGTGTATACTTGTGCCAAAAGGGCTGCATATCAAGCAACGGTTTCACTGGTGTTAGTTGGTAAATATAAAAAGGTTTTTTCATAGAATTACATTTCCAAAATCAGGGTGCGTATTCTACGATGCAGCGTCTTCCAAGCCGACAAATATGGCAAGCTGTATATATGGTCACATTTCAACCAGTCGTGTTAGCGATAACAGCCCATGCGAGAACCATGTAAAATGAGACCCCAGTGTACAAGAAAACCAGGAGAACAGTTAGTGTGAGTACAAAACTAGAAGTTTTAAGGCAGTATGATGTTGGTAAAAAGTTTTGCAACAGATCATAATCCCATATATGAAAAACTGATCCACTTATCACTGCTTCATTAGAAGTGACAATGTTCAAGAATGAGTTTATGATGACAAGATAGGACCCCATGTACAGTACAGTACTATGAGTAAAGACATCATCCAACAGGTGATCACCTGTAGGTTACTTAAGAAAAGGATATATTTAGTATAAGTATGGCACATCAGCTGAAGAATCTCCACCCCACATTATTTAACCTAAAGATTAACTACAATAATGCAAACATAACTTAACCTCCTTCCCCAAATAGTGTTAGACTAGTTATCTTTAGGTGAAATAGGGTGGGGTGGAGATCACTCAGGTATTCAGGTACAGTAAACCTGTGTAATACTGTCCCTAAACAACACTGATACAATCAAAATAAAATCTGTAATACTGTACCTGAAGAATATTGATATGAACAAAACAAAATTTATATAATACTGTACCTGAACAACATTGGTACGATCAAGACAGTCAATACAGTTGATTCTGAAGACACCATTTTGATGACAAATGATCCCTTCTTTGTCAACCCAGCAGTACAACATCTTTCCTATTATGTCCTCAATGCTCTCTATCAACACTGAAACATTCTCGTATCTCATTCCACGGCTGAAAGGTTTTAAAAGCTGTTAATACATTTCAGTTTTGTACAGTATATCTACTGCTCTATAAAATCAAACTTTTACTAAACTCAAACTAATGCCTTTGTAAACTATTTTCAACATCTCTTCTTTTCCATATTCAAATTTAATGAAAAACATTGTTCCTACAAATACAGTATAAGCTTCTCTCACCATCATTTAATTTCACAAACTTTACACATCCTGAATTTATCATAAAACCCCACAAGGATATCTACCACAAATGGCCTACTGAAGTTAATTTCAACAACTATCACATCTATGCATAACACTCTTGGGGTTTTTGTACACAAAATTGCATCTGATATAAATTATCACTTTTGGGTTTTCATACACAAATTTGTGAGTGAAGTAAAAAATTTAAATAAAATAATATTGTTTGCATGAGCGCTAGATACACAAGATGCACATTTGGCAGCGTTGGCGTGATCTGGCAACTATAGACTGGCCTCCAAGGATAGGTTACCACACCAGTCTCTCTCTGTATTTCAGTGATGCAGGACATAACACTGAACCACAATTCCCGCGCATTTCCTCATGGCTTGTGCTGGTTTCTTGTTCATCACAGTGATTCCATTTATTCATTTCGTGTAGTGAGAGTTTTGAACCATGCCTCATGATGCTGGTGATGGCACATGGTAGTAGTGTGGTGCCTCCTGATGCATTCTATTTGCCTTTACGTACAGAAATAACTATTTTATAGTGATTGCTCATAAAAAACTGTTTGTAAACAATTTATTTACCATGCTAATGCAACAAATCCCACCTTTTTATCTCAAATAACAAGCTTGCTATGACTCATATATACAATTATCTCCCATGTGCTGCAGTCAAGTGCAGGCCAGATCTTGAGCATCTCGTGGGAGAGCACCTACCCATAACCAAGAGTGTTAATATAAGGTGTCCACACAAATGTCAAGAAATTTCCATTACACATGCATATAAAATCAATAAATATGCCATGTATAATAACCATGTACTGTAAAATCTCTGTTAGCCGGAATCCCTCAAACCCGGAACTCTCCGATAGCCAGAATTGAAATTTGCTTAGAAAATCATCCAAAGCCGGAAATTAAAAAAATTTCCGGCATTGGGTCACAATTTTCTGATGTTCAAAATCAAGAGCATTTTCTGAAAATGTCTTGAATAAATATGAAAGCTAAAATATTTTTTGGGGGGACCTGACCTGATTCAATGTCAGGTGGAAGTAGGGTGGGGGATTAGTGGTCTCGTATATCTGACCTTCTGATGGAATGTCAGGTCACCCTTTCTTGGCCGGGGGGATTAGTGGGTCTCATGGCCTGAAGATGTCTTGAAAAAACACGAAACCTAAAGTATTTTTAGGGAGATTGTGATAAGTTTAAGTGAGCAAAGTTGTACCCCTTCAACATTACATTACATTATATTTTAAAATATGGAGTGAGAAAGGAGAAATGTGTGGGTGATTAGAGAGGAGTGGAAAGGAGTGGTAACATACACCAGTGTTGCCAAGCGATAAGCTCCTCAACAGTTGATCTTTTAATTCCCCTCCATGCTGTCACACAACAAGACCCTCACTGGATGCTTGTTGTCTTAATTCCCGTGTGTGTGTGTGTGTGTGTGTGTGTGTGTGTGTGTGTGTGTCATAACACTTGGATGAGAACCACACACGAAGGTGGCAATACTTTCGAGTTTGCCCGACTGCATACTGAGGCAGACAAGCTGCCGCCCCTCCCACACTAGATGTAGCCCTCCACATGTGCAACAACTGTGAACAACACTGCCGGTCCCATATCGGCCTCTTTAGTCACCTCAGAACTCACCAATGAAGGTGACATCCTTTATAACTCATATCATTGTATCATAGCTGGATGATGAGTGTGTTTGTGTGATGTTGTCGTATTAATTAATGAATAATAAACAATATTGTATTGTTAATGACAGTACAGTGAACCCTCTAAGATCCGAACTAAAAGGAGGGACCACCTGTCCGGATTTTCCGGCAAATAATAAATGATATAAGAAACACCAAAAATACAGTACAAATGTAGTGATAAACAAATTACCGTATATAAACCATGCATTTACCTATGATAACATAATAAGAAACATTGTATCATTACTAGAATGAATGAAATAATATTACCACAAACAACAATTGTCAAATCTGTTTATGTTTCCCACCTCCTCAGGCACCTGTGTCCAAGCAGCTGACGGGTTAAGCAGCGCCCACGGGCCTAAAATGTTCTTTGTTTTGGTTTGGGAATGTTTCTTAGGGAAACTTCTAGGAGGCTTCTTAGCCCAGCACCCTCAAATTTTTGTCCGGATCTTCCGAAACCAGGATTTCCGGGGTCCGGATCTTCAAGGGTTTACTGTAAAGTAGTTTCATGAATAGTAGTGACGATTGTAGTATGCTACTACAGGTTGTACCTCTCTAGTCCGGCATTCTGTGGTCCGTAAACTCCCGTGGTCCGGAACGATTTTAGTTTGCCCAAAAGGTAGATAGGCAGCTTTTTTTCTTTTTTCTTTTTCTTTTTTTAAACTTATCTGAATTATTATTATTATTATTATTATTACAGGAGTATTAAGTTTTTGCCCCTCAGGCCCCAATGTGGGTCAGTGACCTATGCCCGGGTGGGCTAATCCCCGTAAAAAAAAACAACAACAACAATGCCACGGGAAATTAAGGTTTGTTTACATCCGGCAGTTCGGCTGCTCTCTCTCTCTCTCTGCTTGTCTATACAGAGTACAACATTTAACCCTTCAATATATATTAGCAGTGAATAAGTGTTGCTTTCATATTCTTATGTAGAGTAATGACGATATGTTTTCACATGTGCGCATTTACATACGCGCAGTCTCATTTTTTTTTACCATTAATGGTTAGCTACTTATATTGTTCCATTTATTAACATTAAATAACATTACTTCAAACAACCATACAGTGGTCCCTCGGTTAACGAGCACAATCCGTTCCAGCAGGTTGCTCGTTAACCGAAAAACTCGTTAACCGAAACCATTGTTTCAATGGGTTTTTGGGTAGTTGGGTCCAACTCACCGAAAATTGCCTAAATTCAACAAAAAAGGAAGAAAAGTACACTTACTTTCAGGTAGAAGGCTCCTGGATGATGATGATGATGATGATGGGAATTAGAATGGGGGTGGAGGAGAAGGAAGAAGAGAAGGCATTGGGGTGAAAGAGAAATCACCCCATGGTGCCATTTCACCAATAAAATTTTAGCTCTCTTGGTGTAATTCAAGATTATTTTCTTTAAATCAACACTGCACTGCATTATATATTGTCAATATGTAAAATATATTTCAAAATGACCAATAATTTGCTTGGAAACACAGAAAAAAAGCGTTTAGTTGAAGAGAGTCTCAAGCAAGATGTTACCTCCACTGAAAACAGAGAGAGACTAACGCCTGTCTGGTGTGTTAACAGGCTGGATGGCACGCCAGAAACTAGTTTCTTTACCTTCAATTATGTTCAATAATTGTTAAAATGACTAAAAAATTTAATATTAAACTTTTAAAATTTGTGAATAGTATAAACTTCTTGATATTTACTAAAATAGTAAGGAATTTAAGCCCTAAAACCGATTACTGTATTGGCGGACTAATACTACAGCTGGTGGACCGCCAAATGCAAGTGAAAACATGTTGAAGTCGGCTCGTAAAAAACTCGTTAATCGAGGGATTGCTCGTTAACCGAAGTTAAGAATCTTATGGAAGGTAAATCGTTAACCGAAATCTCGTTAACCGAGGCGCTCGTTAACCGAGGGACCACTGTATTATTTTTTTTTACATTATTTTACTACATCTACAATCAGGGTCTTATTTTCTTCAGTTTTGTATGTAGAACCAATCAGTCACTGGTTTTGTAAGTTTTAACAAAAACAATACCGGCAGCCGTCTCGTCTCCTCGTGTGTTTTAATATTCCACGTATTATTAACAAATTGTATTGTTCATTTTGCACACACAAATATTAATTGAATAAAAACAAATTCAGAAACATTAATTAAAATACAGTGAACCCTCACTTTACGCGGTAAATTGAACCCACGGAGGCCCGCGTAAAGCAAGAAACGCGTAAAGTGAACAACATAACATATGGGATTAAATGAAATAGAGACCGGCTGACCCCCAAACTCCACTTTTTCCGACACAATACCTATGTTCTAGTAAAAATAACATCTTAATTTTATGATGGTACATGCACACAATTAATACTTAAGAGAAATAGAGAAATACAGTCGCCAAGTTAATGTCCATTCAAATAATGGACTCAACTCCCTCCCCCTCTTCTCACACTACACTGCTGGCTCTTCCCTCTCTGAGAAATGTTTGGGGGAAAACCACTAGATTTTAAGGTATAGTAATAAATAATACCTCAAACTAAAGTTAGGATAATATAATTGACATTGCTGGATTCCGTTGTAAGACCAGGAATATTTTGAATATAAATATCATATTTTGCACAAAAGATAACATATTTACTCAGAGTAAACAAAATACTTAAAGTAGATCTAAAATTTGTATGTCTAATGCAAAATCTATGATGTTTATATTCAAAATGATCATCAAATTGTAAGAATTCCAGCAATGTAAATTATATTCTGGCCCGGTAATTTGTATGAATTTTATGAGCTAAAACAAATATCTTCAATAAATAAACAAAATATACTTACCGAAATACTATCTGTCAATCAAAATACCTCCCTCCCCCCTCTTCCCACCTGCTCCCTGGGTCCCTCCCTCCCTCCCTACCCCTCACCCCCACCTTCCCTCCCTACCAGAGAAATGATTGGGTTATAACAGTATATTTACATTTTTAGTAATAAATAATACCTCAGACTAAAGTTAGGATAATATAATTGACATTGCTGGATTCCTTGCAAGACCAGGAATTTTTGAATATACACGTCATAAATTTTGCACAAAAGATAACATATTTGCTCTGAGTAAACAAAATACTTGCATTAGAT